AAACTACCAGGAGAGATGAAAGTATACAAAGCAAAGGATACAGTGTCAAATTCCATCTTGAGAAAGGTTACTGTTGCAGAAGAAAAGCTGGCACTCAAGAGGGGAGCTGAAGTCATGCTGTTGTATAATGTATCTGAGAAGCTAAGGAATGGAACAAGAGGAAGAGTTATCGATCTGAGTGATGATGGACCGACGGTAAACTTTTATCAAGTCGGTATAGTGAGTAAAGTGACGAAATGTTCGTGGTTTGCATATAAACATGGCACCAGTGATATTCTTGGGTCCCGAACCCAATTCCCATTGAAACTGGCATATGCAATCACAGCTCATAAGAGTCAAGGGCAGACCTTGAAAGCTGCTTGTGTTCATTCTGGAAAGGAGTTTGTACCTGGACAGTTGTATGTTGCCTGTTCTCGTGTGTCTTCTATGCAAGGGTTGTCCATTGTTAATTTCAATGAGCAGAAGCTGATAAGATCATCAAGCAAGGTAGATAGCTTTTATGCTAATTGTCGTGACGACGTACCTCTACAGTCGCAGATGTGTTGTACCCAAAAAAAAAACAATTCTAGTTGGATTAAATGGACATATGATTGGAATGCAGCAATATCCTGATGAAATTGAACTTGATGAGCAGGAATTGGAAGAGATTGATAAGATTTGCAGCTCATATTTTACTGACAGTGAAATTGAGCAGCAGGATGTTGTAAACTTGGAGATGGTATTAACTGACATTCTGTCACAGATGTCTGGTGATATGTCTGATTTAAATAAGATTTCTCCACTTGCCTTGTTGGGTGAGTTGAGAGAAATGGTAATCAATACTTCTACCGTATTAAGTGCAAGGATTGTGGATGTTATCGATCTGCTTAAGAATGACAAATACCTGCCAAATGTAAAATTGTTTGCAAACATTCAGCAAAGTCGTCTTTACAAGTCAAAGAAGAAGAAGAAGAATGATAACTCAGTAAAGTTTGACTTTAAAAGTTTTATGTCGGCTGAAGTGTCATTGTGTGACGATGATGATGTCGTGAAAGAATGTGCTGCAATGTTCGATGTTTCTGAAAGGGAACTCACAGTGGAGCACTTCTGGGTGATGAGCGAGCTTATAACTGCAGTAAGGTCTGATATTATTGGACAACTGTACAATGTCAAATTTGGTAGCAATGCCATGATTGACACACAGAAGAAAAGTGTATGGGAAATGAGCAAAGAAGGTCAAGGCAAAGTAAGGTATGTTGGTGGTTGGTCAATTATAAAATTGATTTATGTTTTTAAGAAATACATAACAACCAATTGTACATCTACTACTTTACAMGTTAGGCAAGAAATGCGTAAAAGGTATGAATGGATTGATATGCTAGAGTCTTTATTGATTCAAAGTGCTAATGTTCAYGAGTCTTCCAGCTATAGTGAAACCTTGACTGTAACTGATGTGAGGCAGTATCGAAGTAATGCACTGGTGTACGTAAATGACAAGACCTTTGAGTTTTTTATGGAMCTGGRGCAAAAGAGAAGCAATTCTCTTTGTCATGAGAAYCTGAATGCTCTAAAAGGAAACATGTTRTCGATTGCTGTGGATGGTGTTAAATGCAACAACATRCTAAARCAGAAATGRAAAAACTTATTTGTCAAAAGTGATGAAAGTGAAATGGAAGAGAGACATAATGCAGATGTACACGTATTRTATTGCAAAGTAGTTGAAAAGTACTTTCAAATGGGAGCTGGTCAGTACATTAGAGACTTCAGAAGGGATTATAATGTGACAAAAACAGAAGCTCATCGGAAGAGAGTGCAAGAGAAGAAACTTATCAAGGAAAGACAAGCAGAAAAGGTAAAAGTAATYTAATTTTATTGCACAACAATAATCTTGTGCATYAACAATTAATGTATTGYACTTGCATGTATGTAACGTGTCATGTACAGRGTGTCAWAAATATAAATATTGCAATCATCATTTAGAGCAACATATTGACATGTCAMTTGTCTGTTTAATTTTATTTAYAGGTGACCCTGGAAAGTATTAAGCRAGATACGAGTGAAAATAAGCAAAATTCACATAGTCAGTTKCTATGTTTAGTGTCTAAAAGACAAGATGTATTTGAAACTTCATATAGTAAAAAAGAGATTGAAGTGTTGTTTAGAGCCTATGGAAAGAGGTATTACAGTAGTTGGACAAAAGTAAGACTCAATGAARTTCTTGTCGATTGTGTGAAAACAGCCACACAGTTTGCAGATCCAAGCGTGTTTGTGAGCAGCTGAAAGTGAAATGTATTACTTGAGATCTGTGTGATCTCTTTTGATCTGTGTGATCAATTATAGCCTTTGTGGCASAAGTCAGTGTTCAATATAAAAACCTTTGTGGTTTTATTTGGGATCTAAGTGATCTCGTGATCTTTGTGATCATCATGAAATAGGCCTATGTGGCCATGTGAAACCGTGATGTTGATGTCCTCTGTACCTATTTGGCATAAAGAATGTAAAGGTAATATTCTCAATGAATGCATGCACTCATTTGCAACAAAATATATGATTTATATTTTTTTGTATTCTTCCAATAAAGACAAAACTCATGTTAAAATCATGTTTTTTTTGCAAACAAGTGTATTATGATATAATTATAATGAATACTGGGTCTTCAGTGTATTTTCACCTTAGTTATAGTTCTCTAAAAAAAGGGGAAAATGTGTATTCATTTTTTTGTATAAACAAAGTATGCATTTGTCATTGAACTTTACAAATCAGTTTTCAACCAAAAATGTTAGATTTATGTACATATATGTATGTATATGTTATATTGTACTGTATGTTAAACAAGTTTTAAGGCCTTGTTAGTTTTAAGGTACACTAAATTAGAAGCATGCCATAAAACTTCAATTGCTACAAATTACATATTGCTGTTCATCGCAAGGGAACCTAAAGTGATGCAAGGACACCAACAGCAAATGGTACAGTATTTATCACAAATGACAAGCATACTATGTAATGAAATTTACATACATTTATTATTGTACTTACCTATATGTAAATAGGTTTCTAGAAAAATAGCTTCTGTTCTGCTCTCTGACTACCACCTGTTTTTATATGAGAAAGGTGATGTTCCTGATGCTGTTTTAAGGTTTCAATAATAAGGGAAGTTGTGCATGTTGTTTTTGGTAAAATATTATTCTGACTAGTATTTGTAGAAGAAGCATTGATTTTCAGGGTACAGTGTACATATCACCTTGAAATTTATGAAATTTGAAATGCATAATTAATGTGTGATCTTTATTGTCTACTTTTATCAGGTGAGGGTATTTATACATAAAGACATGTTTCAAAGAGAAGTCTGACAGATTTGAAAATGTGACATGTGTCTAACAAAATGATCAAGGCAAGGAAGACACTGAGTAACACCAGCTACACAAGACACCATTGCCCACAAGACAAGCAATACAGGAATAAGATGAACACACACATCAAAAACAATTAGATAACTAAACATCAATACAACCAAGACATCAACATCAGAAAGCCACTATTAAACCCACCAGTATTCTGTTGCAAGGCAATCAAGATATCAACAGAAGCCAATAACAAGCAAGACACTAATACTAGAATGACAAGCAATATGCCAGTACTAGAAAGAAAAGCAAAGATGGCAATACGAGAACTACATTGTAAGACAAGCAACACTAGAAGAACAAACAAGACACCAAATAGAAGGTATATTGATACTGTAAACCAATATGGAAAGGACATACAAGACACTAATATTGAAAGGACAAACAAGACACAAACACTAGAAGGACAGACGAGTCCATAGGCTTCCTAACTATTGCTTTAGAAAAGAAAGCAATGTTTTCATTTATTGACGCACTCTCTTTGTGAAATGCGGATTACCTGTGGAAATGCATCATGATCTAGTGCATCACGAGATACAAACTAGTCACCGAAGCAAGGGATCACTGACGAAATACCACAGGTAACCCGCGTCTTCTAATAGCGTACGCCAATACTAGTACTATCATAAGAGCATGCGCATTTGTTCTTTTCTTGCTCTCAAGCAGTAATTGGTTGCCTATGACAAGACACCAATTCTTGAATAACAAGCAGGATCCCAACACTGGAAGGACAAGCAAGATACCAGCACTGGAAGGACAAGCAAGACACAAGCACTGGAAGGACAAGCAAAACACCAGCACTGGAAGGACAAGCAAGACACCAGCACTGGAAGGACAAGCAAGACACCAACACTGGAAGGACAAGCACTAATACTGAATGACAACCAAGATACCAACACTTGAATAACAAGCAAGATGCCAATACTGCAAGAATAATAGAAATAGTCATTGACAAGAAACAAAAACTTAAAGGACAACTGTGGTAGTAATACTCACAATGAAGACAACATATTCCAATAAGATAGACAATCAAGACACAATTGAACACTTGACAGCAAGGCATCAATGCCAGAATTACGTACAAGCAAGATACAAATACTAGAATGACAAGCAAGATGCCAATACTAGAATGACAAGCAAGATGCCAATACTAGAATGACAAGCAAGATGCCAATACTAGAATGACAAGCAAGATGCCAATACTGAATGACAAGCAAGATGCCAATACTGGAATGACAAGCAAGATGCCAATACTATAATGACAAGGCAAGATGCCAGTACTAGGATGACAAGCAAGATACAACACTAGAATGACAAGCAAGACGCCAATACTAGAATGACAAGCAAGATGCCAGTACTAGAATGACAAGCAAGATGCCAGTACTAGAATGACAAGCAAGATACCAGCACTGGAATGACAAGCAAGACACCTATACTAGAATGACAAGCAAGACACCAGTACTAGAATGACAAGTAAGATGCCAGTACTAGAATGACAAACAAGATGCCAATACTAGAATGTCAAGCATAGAGAATAAAATAAAGCAGGTATGTAACTATTTGACTTTCAAATATCGATTGGACAATTTGCCTAATGTGGACATACCTTTGTCTAGTGTGGACATTTGCACTAACTTATAGAGTACATAACAATATCTGATGTTATAAATACAACTATCAGAAAGGTTTCAAAGTCATTTGCACATGCAGGGAGAGCATTTGAGAAGATATGCATGTTGATGATTGTACAGTAACCATCAATGTTTATGTTATCATATATGTGTGTATCTTGCTTTTTTTTCTTATCCAAATTAGTGTTATTCAAGAGTTTGGTACCAAAAGTTCAAAAAGGAAAGATGAAAAATATCAAGTGAGTATTCATTTCATTTGGTTATCTATGAGACAGTTTATATCATTTAAGCAAGTCCAATATGTTCATTTATGTTCAATCCAAATGTTGTTCTCTTACTGTAATCAGGATGGTTAAAAGATGTTCCAAAAGTTTAACAAATAAGTGCAATGAATCAAATGTGCCAAAAGAAGAAAATCTTGAAACAAAGCAAGCATGAATGTCAACTACTCATTTGCAAGGTAATAAAGAAATAAAAATTAGGGTTTGTATTCGTTATAAAATAATGATTTTTTTTATATTGTAATCAGGTCCATTCAGGTGATTTGTCCCAAAGATCCGCAGATCCAGTCTTGTTCAGTACAAGGGATGAAAGAACAGTACATTGTAAATATAACAATAATAATGTGACAAAAAATATTTATTGCAAAAATTGTAACAAATATGAAAAATAGGGCTGGCATATGACTACTAATGGTACCCCTATAGTGCCATTTTTCTGAGCCTGCACCAGCGGTTATTCGCCAAAAAAGGGGTGGTGAATTTTTAATTTTCGTATAAATTAGTATAAATTAAAAAAAGTTTAAGTTGAAAAGTGAAAACTAAATTTCATGGTTTCCTCCAAATATTTTTTGTAGAAAAAGTTACGCTCGAGACAGGATGATAACGTGTTTTAATGGTACAAAACAAATTTCAGATACAGATGTAAGAAGTCTTGGTTAATTCCTTTGAATATAGTTCAAAGTCCCCCTTTTTTAGGCATTAGGCAAGACCATCAAATCACCTAGAAGGTTTGCAAAGCTCTCTTTGGTGACTTTCTCTTTTCTGGAGTCGGGATAGCTCTCGATCATTTCTTCGCACAAGTTCTGTCGCTTTCTGTGAGATTGTTAAATTGTTGATACGTTTCCCAAACGCGAGGGCTTGTTTCTTCTTTCAGTCTTTCAGTCAGCAATATTAGAGTTTATGAAAAACGTCTTGTTAATCCTGTCAGTCCTGAGTGGTATAAAGGAGAAGGCATTGACGAAATGCTGTCATTTCTACTCAAAGCTTCGAGGAATTACTAAAAACATGGTTAGGAGATACTGCCGAGATTGTCCAATAGAGGGTTGTGGTGCTAGATACCTTGTGAAGCTATCAAATCATCTACATGATGTTCATGGTTTAAACTCTGCCGAGAGACGAAAATATCTTCAAGAATCAAAGCTTCAACCAAGAGTAAAAGTTGTCATTTATCATGATAATAGAGGAAATCAAAAGCAGAACACTCATGACTGCAACTGCGGGAAGGTTTCTGACGTTCAATCACTTCAAAATGATTTACCCAGTTGGAGTAATACTTCTCCAAGCCTTGTGTATCAATACTCTATTCCAAGGAACCAGTTCAAAGCAAAAAGTCAAGCGAGAAAGCGCAAGAAATCTGAACAGAATATAAATATGCAAGAAAGAAATGGCTCAAAAGGTCTACAAACTCAAGATGTCTAAGCGATGTAACGTATAGCTCCCAATTCCTATCAGATTATTTCATGAACTCGTGACACTTATAAGTACATTTTAAAGGATGCATGGAAGTTTCAACAGCTTTGGATATAGATATAGAATCTTCCACCGACATATAACGCGCTTTAGAGAATGCAAAAAAAAA